TAGCTTGGGGTTTTAATGTTTACAAATTTATTAAATAAAGTGATTTTATTTATAAAAGAACAAAGCAACCAAAAAGGTGTCGAGGTAAAAGCATATTTATTCCTATTCATATAATAAGTATAACCATATGTATGTGCAATATTCCAATAAAACTACTGTATTGCAAATTTTTTTAAGTGTCTGTTGCCTTTGATTAAGAAACTGTGAGAGGCATGCCTGTAAATATGATAATTTCATAATAACCAAAGAAAAATACATGTAAAAACAAAGTGATTTTATTTATAAAAAAACAAAGCAACCAAAAAGGTGTTGAGGTAAAAGCATATTTATTCATATTCATATAATAAATATAACCATATGTATGTGCAATTTCATAATAACCAAAGAAAAATACATGTAAAAATGAAAGAAAAGTAAATAAAAATGACCACTGGAGAAAGAATTGAAGTTTGGATTAAAGTTTGCTAGAACAATCATATGTACTATAAGATTAAAACCAAATTAAATATACATAAGAAAGATATATTAGATAATTGAAAAGAAAACCCAATATCAAGTTATATGAAATAACATCGGTCCATATGTATTCCTAAAACAATCAAATGTTTTACCTTTCTTTTTTGTTCCATTTATGTGGCAATGTGATATTAGATTTTTTTAAGAAATGGTTCCACTTAGTGGTGGGATTAGCAAGGATGCTTTTATAACACATTGAATGGTAGATTAGCATAACAACTTTTTTGTAGAATATTTCAAATGAAGTAGCATATTCAATATTTGTTGATCAAATGACATTGTTCAAAATAGTGTGCATTATATCATTTGGAGTGAAAAAAAAATCTATTTTACCTTTTTTTGACCCATGAGATTGGCAAGACAGAATTTCCAAGCAATCCAATTATATCCTCTTGAACATCCAATTCACTTGTTATGGCTAGTTCAAGAGTCAAAGCAAAATTTTGTCATGCAAAATGAACTAAATGGATGAATTTAACAGCTACAATATCATCATACATGAAAAGAATCCAAATCCAATGAACCTATAGTCAAATAAATAAGCTATAACATTTAAACCAATGTTCATAATATACTGATGGCTCTGTTGATCAACTTATATCCAATCTCCCTATCTCCTCACTTTAAACTTGCATTTTGACATGACAGGTATTGCCTTATTCTTTGAAACATTGATAGCAAAGACTTCGGGTTTTGAAATTTAAGAAAATGCACATTAACTTCATTCCACTTCCAACATGCTAACTTGTACCCACAAAGTATGATCCTCACACGTGAAGTACTATAGAGTGATGGAATTTTTGTTATAACAAAATGTTTTTAATATAAATGTCAAACTAATTCTCAAGGCCTCACTACAGAATCAACATCAATATCAATTATTCAAGACAAGATAAAAGGGCTCATATATCATTGTTAAGAAAGCAACAATAAATAGCCATAAATGGATTTTTGAAAATAAAAAACTACTAAAAAAATATAAGGGCAATTACACACAGACCACCCTAAACTTGCTAATTACAAATCAACCATCCTCTTTCATCCATTTTTCAAATTCTCAATCAAATATCAAAATTCATGGTAAAACCCCAACTTATACTTTTAATTTGTATGAAATTCTCAAAAGTTTTATTGTAGCATGCATAAATAAATCGAGTTGGTAGTTCAAAAAAATCACCTTGGTGGTCAATTTGTAAGCATCAATGTTTCGGGTGGTCAGTATGTACGTATCCCTAAAACATTAAGCTTAGAATTCAAAATTTTACCACAAATATTTTAAATTTTAAACAATTTATTACTTTATTATTTTCACAAATAAATACTTTATATATATATTTTTTTTATACTTTAAAAACTTCAAGCTTGATTTAAAAGTATGGAGGCGTGGCACTCCATCAAGGAAAGCTAATTGGGGTGGCTCAATTCCACCTTTCTTGCTCAATTCACCTTTCTTGCACCTTATTGATCTCTCTCCCAATTTTTCTTAAGCATATTTTTCCCCATATTCCACGTATCAATCTATAGTATTTTCTCAAATTTAAGCCCTAAGAAAATTTTAAACCCCTTCTTAAGGCTATCAGCCAAACTAAAAAGACTCTTAACCTACTTTTCTATCCTCTCTCCTAATAACCCCTTAAAAATCTTGTTATTTCATTATCTACTCTAAATTTAATCTTCAAACATTTCCCTAACATTCTAAAACATTCTATCTCCTTCACACCCCTTTAAACCTCTATAACAAGAACTACAAATTGTATCTAACGATATTACTAACATTTCCAAGTAGTTTCATGCTTTGGATCCTTTGAAATAAAAATTCTTGATCCAAATCTCCAAAGGCAGCTCTATGATTGGCCATGACATAGACCCCTGGATGACTCCTTCCTCTTGGCTACTACCTTCAATAAAACCATTCCAGGAACTCAAGAGCATTCTTTGCATAATTAGCTTTCACACCATAGCACGTGAAGGCCTTGGATCATCCTCCTAAAATTGCATCAGCGTTAGTATGGAGCTTCAACCAACAGTGCTTGTAATTAGTAGATCTATTATTTACAAAGGGGTAATTTTTGACATTAGAGGTTGTTAATTTCTTTTGTTATGATAAAAAAATTATAGGTTATTGAATTTATATAGGAAGCCTACGATATTAGGTATCAAGTTGTAATTAGTTACTTCAAAAGAGCCTAGCCTACAGTTTATGTGAGAACTTATTATATATTAATTAAATCCTAAGGGATTTCTCCAAAGACAAAGTAGAAACCTACCTTGAGTGCAAACTCTCATATGTAAATTAACTTTTTTACTTTGAACAAGCAATTCAATGTAGGAAACATACTACAAAAAATTTATGTCGTATGCTTGCCTAAAAACTAGAGCAAAGGCTTTACAAATTAGAAATGCATGCATGACACATCTCATTGCATAAAGAGATCATTGAATATAATTAAAAAAAATAGTCAATCTTTGAGAAAGGGGCAAATTTTTTGTCTAGATCATGTGAAGCTTGTACTTAAACAAAATGCTACCCAAGTAATGAAGTAAGCTAAAGGTATAAATAGGATTTTAGAAGCAATAGATATTAGGATCCATAAGAGTATTTTGAGTCACTAAGAACTTATGGAAGAGAGTAGAGCCTAATTTAATGAGAGTAGTGATCAAAGTCAAGAGCTGCAAAAACTAAAAAGCTATTTTGGTGGCAAAAATACAAAAGCTAGCCCTTAGAAATCCCTTCCCAACTTCTGCAAATGCATAACCCATGAGTCATAATTTAAAGGATGATGAGATCAACTCAAATGCTAAAGAAAATCAGCCCTTTAGGAGGCCACTTTTCAAAGGAATGGGAGTAAATGGGACAACAAAAGATAGATACACTTCATAGTATAACAAATCATTTTGAAAACTTAGAGGAACCCTCTAGTGATGGAGTGTATGATTCTAATAAATTTTTCAATTAGAAAGTGTAAATTGATGAGTGCTTCGAATAATATAGATTGGTAGGTTATTAATAGATTATTTTTTGCTAAAATGAAGCTCACTAGATATATTATTGAATCCTGATCTATTCATAGGTTATACTATAGTCCTAATAAGCCAAAGGAAGCACAAAATTATAAGAGAGATATAGATAGAAAGAAGAAAGTCCGTCAAATAAGCATAAAATTACAAAATCTATGACTTAATAGAACTCAAACTCAAATCATTGGCTCTTCCCAAAATCCTCTAATTGAAGATAAGAAACTAGGGTCTTAATATTATTGAGAAAGCTATGGAATGAGCTCTATGGATAATAAATATAAAAAAATAGTACAAAAGGTAATGTACCCTTAATATGGACTTCAACTCGAACCAAAATTAAGAAAAATAATTGGTTGTTAGGAGTAATTGCCTTTTATGTGTAATCGATTGCCAGTTGTGGGAGTCACTAGCTCCTTTTGAAGCATTGGCAGAGTGCTTTCCCTATATGCAACGGGTTATCTAGGTTGTTCTGATCAAATGAGTCTATAGCATCACTGAAATGAGTAATCCTTCAACTTTTATAAAATTTTTATAATTAGATTAGCATGCGGGACTTCCTCATTCCCAGTAAGTTGATGCCTTGAATTTAGTTGTGTGAGCTACTCCAAGATTCTGTAGGTGAGTTTGTCGGTAAACTTGGTTTGGCTAAGTTCATACTACTCCCTATCCTGGTGAGTTCCCTTGGACTCAACTAGACAATTTTTTTTATAGTTCTCTTTTTCGATAGATCTATGCATAATATATATATTTAGTTCTTCAATTCTCTTATATTTTTAAAAGGTATTTATAAAAGGAAGAAAAGAATGAGATAAATTGTACTACTCATTTTAAGAATTAGCCTAATGCCTTGCTCATTTGTTTGGACGAGTAAAACTCTTCTTTGAGCTAACTTCATTGATTATTTGCACTTCAAAGAACTCAATACAGTTGTAGTTAGCATTTAACTAATGTGATAGAGTAGACGAGAGAATTTAAGGATTATAGAATTCAACTTTTTATCATTTTATCAATATTAGTATGATTTATTTCCATAAAATACCTTGTTCCATCTGTAGAGAAAGTTTCAAGAGTTCCTTAGATTTTCTTTCCCTTCATTTTCAACCATATGCACTCAACAACCTAGAAAAATGGAAGCCAGCAATTTTAATGTCATTGATGAGGCTGTCATGGCTGAGAAGATGAGAGGCTTGAATAGTGCAAATAAGTGGAAGAAGGTGAGGGTCAAGCTTAAGCTGTTGGGCAAGAAATTTATGGTAGTAAATCCATTCATGGAGACAACTTGCCCTCATTATCAACGC